AATAGCATTAGAATGAGAATTTTAAAAGCTGTGTTATGGAATCTGTTCTTGCTGGAGGCAGAAGACTGATGATTCCACAATAAGTTCATATGAAGCAAGTCATTTACTAGACTCCACTGCAAGGTTTTACATAGGCCATGTATATTATTCTTCATGCTAGTCATTCTGCTTTTTAGCATGAGATTCTCAGTTTCATACATCATTTTTAAAGCAGATCTATAATGAAAAAATCAAATTATTTAAATTTTTAGCCTGATGTGCAAAAGTTAATAAAAACACCAAAAGCCTTACCGTACTCTATAATGGGGTAATCCTGAAGCTGCCCAGTACTCAGTCACAGCCCTCTGATATTGTAGGACTGATGACAAAAGAATGTTTAGCCATTAAATCAGTGGTTCCTCCTGAACATTTTGTTGCCATTAGTCCGTCAAGATACTTGACAATGGCTGAGATCTAATCATATGACTAGGTGTCAGACCTCTGTAGGAGTGCAATAACTATAGCAAGGTTATAGTTAGAGCCAGATTTCCATCACTGAATTCTGTAGGCATATAACCTCTTTTGATCAACCCCCTCCAGCATCACCACTTTTACAGGGAACATTTTCTTGTTTAATGGTTATTATCTAGCTAAAAATGTTTGGACTGCATAAATAAGTTTGAATGAGATGATTGTATTTCTGTTGTTGATGGAAAAAAAGGGTGGTCTATACCAGTACAATGAAAAAACACCTCCTTTTCTATCAGCACAAGCCTACATTGCCTATGGTAAATCCAGCCCTGGTTATAGGTACTTTTAGTTTTATTTTTATTATGCTGAATATTATGATAATTGTGCATTTAGATTGTTTGCCTTCTGTGATTTTCTTAAGATTAATACACTCTCTCCAATTCCTACCACTGCTTAGTGGATAAATTATATTATCATTCTTTTGACTGTTACTACAGAATCCTGTTCGCCAGCAGTCTGTCCTTTCCAAATGCTTCATTACCATGCCTTCTTCTAATAATTATAATTATACAAGAAAAATAAGATTATGATATTTTAAACAAGAATGACCCCTCATCCCACTGTTACTGCTACTGATTATAGTTTTTTTCTTTATTAGCAAAGCACTCCACATTAAAGAAGATTAAAAGGTTGTGGCCTACAGCAACCAATAAGAATATTTCTTAGAATTTCTGGTCTGCACTAAAAAATAATGGTTAGGTGTGACAGGTTTCAATAGACAAATAGGAAAGATACATCCTCCATTTGTAGTACCTTTCAAGCTGATGTAGAAAGTTGGGTGCACGTACAACAGAAATCAGAGCCAGCAGGCCAGATAGCATTGGAAGATAATTTTACTTCAAAAAGTCCAAAGTGTATAATGTCAGCTGCACATAGTCATCCTACCACTTAGTTGTGCCTCCCCAGATTTTCTATAATATAACAGCACAGAAGATGAGAGGTACATCCCAATGTCCGGTGTACAGTTCACTACTACCGCCTGTATAATAGGCAGCGTCC